TCTTATCATTTGACGCTTACCTCTTTTTTCGTTCCTGTGCGGTTTTAATAATTATTAAGTTTAATTATTTTATTATATTTAATCTAGTTAATTTTTTTATTTTTCTGATTTTTTGTATTTCATCATCATTCAGGGCCCACCACGTACAAGCCCGACGTGCCGGCAGTAGTTGTGGCAACATCGGGAGAGAAAGTGGAGCTGCCCTGCCAGACGAGGAAGAAGGTCGGGGAATCAACCATTCTCTGGAAGAAGAATCTCAAGACCATCGACTTCAAAAGTATTTTTCATTTTTGTCTTGCATTTATCTGTATCTTTGTGTTTGTGCGTGTGTGTTCGCTCATATTCGTCTCTACACGTTTATCCTTATATTTAAATTTGCTGAATAAATTATGCAAATCAATCGAATTAATTTCGGCGAATTAACCTAGATAATTTCTGCAAAACAAAAACCAAAACCCCAAGACTTGAAGAGATCTCGCCTGGATAGAAGAACGGGAACAATCATAATACCCCATGTTCTGAGAGAGGACGAGGGTAACTATATGTGCCTATCCAAGTATCTGGATGGTATCTACTCTAATAGAATACAGCTCATCGTTCATGGTTGGTATCTTTGTTTGTGTGGATATGTGTGAAGGTATTTGTTTGTGTGTGGATGTGTGTGGAGGTGTGAAGATGTGTGAATATGTGTTTGTACGCGCAAACACCAACATACAAACACACAGATACGCAAACACGAACACACACACACACACACGTCGACATAGTACCTCCCGTAATCATAAATCGTCCGCCACCTATGTACGTCATCAACACGAACCGCCGTCTAACTCTCCCGTGCAAGGCTCTGGGATATCCACAACCCCTCATCAAGTTCTGATGATGATGGTGGTGGTGGTGTTGATGATGATTGCAATGGTGATGATGATGATGATGATGGTGGTGGTGGTGATGGTGGTAGTGATGATGATGATGATAATGGTGGTGGTAGTGGTGATGATGTTGATAATGAATAACTTTTTATAAAAAAAAAACTTAACCCTGAAAAACATTCCATCTCAAGATGGCAGCGAAAGCACAAAGACCTCTTCAACTACCAGGACGGAGAAAGAATCCCATCCATCAACCATCACTACAGCATGGGATTGGACGGATCGCTGATCATCAATGACGTCATAGAGGAAGATGAGGACGAGTACGAGTGTGTGGCGGAAAATATCGCCGGCGTCGACTGCCAAAACGTCACCGTCAAAGTTAACGGTCGGTGTGTGTGTGTGTGTGGTGTGTGCGTGTGGTGTGCGTGTGGTGTAGTGTGTGCGTGTTGTGTTGTGTGTGTGTGTGTGGTGTGTGTGTGCGTGTGGCGTGTGTTTTATTATTTATTATTCATTTCGATAATTTAATGTAACTCTGATTTTGGTTGACGATTACAGAAGCGCCAAAATTCATGGACGGCAAAACGTACGTGCGTATACGCGGCTACATAAACAGAGACCTGGCGTTGAACTGCGATGTCAGAGGCGATCCTACCCCCACCATCGTTTGGTCGCTTCATGGTTTGTTAGGCTTGGCATGCGAAAAAATTTCCATTTGCCAGCAGTTTTTAATTTTGTTGATTAATTCGATTTCAATTCAATCATCAGTTCGAAATCATTTTTGGTAGCAAATTTATAAACATATCAAATCTCTAAAGTTTTTGATTGGCAATGAATTCGGTCATAAAAATTCGAAATTAATAAACCAGTAAACCAGCAACATAAAAAAAATTGTCGTCATTCAGGACACCAGCTATCAGCGTCAAGCAAATACCACATCTCAAAGAAGCAAACCCACCTGACAATCGTCAGTCTCCAGATGAAAGATGTCACAAAGTACGTCTGCCTGGCTTCAAATGAAGCCGGAAGTCTTGAGAAAACTTTTGATGTCTACGTCATAAGTTTGTTATTTGATGGTGTTGTTTGATGACTGTTTAGTTGATTAGTTGGTTGATTGGTTGGCTGATTGATTGGTTGATTGGTTGGCTAATTGGTTGGTTAATTGATTGGTTGGTTAATTGATTGGTTGATTGGTTGGCTTGTTGGTTGGTTGTTTGATTGGTTGATTGGTTAGCTTGTTGGTTGGTTAATTGATTGGTTGATTGGTTGGTTGGTTAATTGATTGGTTGGCTGGTTGGTTGATCGGTCGATCGATTGATCAAAAATATTAAAACTGCAACACATTATTTACGCACGCACACACACGCACACACACGCACGCACACCAACAACAAACACGCACACACACAAGCACACATTTATTTCAGACTCGCCACACTTTTCTGACAACGAAAAATCTACCGTATACATAACTGTGCACGTGAAACACGAGGTCATCATGAAGTGCCCAGTTGTGGATGCTACGGAAATCAAATTTTTCAAGGGAAGTTCCGAGGTCAGTGCCAAATCGGGCAGGTTGCACGTCACCCGGAACGCTCTGATGATCACCAGGGCCGAAATGACGGACGCTGGACACTACAAATGTGTGGCCAGCAACGAGGCTGCAAGTATTGGGAGGACCTTCATTCTCAAAGTTATTTGTTAGTTGTGTTAATTTTTCTTGTTAGAGTATTGTTTTTACAAATGCAATTTGTAAACATTTTCTTACGTAACTCTTGTAGGCATTTTTTTTCATCATTTTATTTGATATTTTCAGCCGATCTGCAAATAGAAGACAATTTCCAAAAAGTCATCATTGAAGTCATTAAAGGTCAACCATTCACCTTGAACTGTAGAGCCCGCGGTCAACCACATCCAACTGTCACGTGGTTCAAAGGAAGTCACGTGATTGAAGGGGGTAGTGGGGGCGTGGTCATAAATGAGCACGCGTTACAGGTCTCTCACTCGATGGAAGGGCATGCAGGCGATTGGCAGTGCCAGGCCAAGAATGAATATTCAAAAGCTGTCAAACTCTTCCATGTCATTGTCCTCGGTTGGTGGGTTGCTGAAATTGTATCGCAACTTTGACATATCTTACAAAAAACTACTAACAACTTAATCCTAACTTTTCAATGTTTATTACAAATTTTTGTTCAAGTTAACCCAATTTCTGTCTCAAGTTTTCATTTCAATGAAAACATTTCCTACCAGTTCCACCAAAGATACACCCAGACACCAAAACCCTGTACGAGATGAGGTACTACGCCCGGGTCACCCTCACCTGCACAGCCACGGGCTTTCCAACACCCAAGATTAATTTCCTAAGAAACGGTCACGTCATAAAGTCTGGAGTCGTATACGAAGTTTCGGGCTCCAGTTTGGTTATCAAAAATTTGGATAGTAAGAGCCTCGGGGCTTATACTTGTCTGGCAGTAAACAAGGCCGGTGAAGATACTAAAGATATCATTGTTAAGTTGAAAGGTTGGGTTGGAAATTTGTACCCTTTGTACTCTTTGAAAATTGTACCCCACTTTACTACATTTTCATTTAAATGACTTTAGTGAATACAATTAATATAGGATAGATTGTATAGTGTCGTATTACTTTCGCTGAAAATGACATGAACACTATTATATCGATTCTACTTTCACAACTTTACAAATCTATTTTTGATTTTATTATTTTACAGTTGGATTTATTAACTTTTTTTGGATTTTTTTTTAAACTATAGCGATACCAATAGCTTTCGACAAGTCGCACCACGTCAGGATAGTAAAAATAATAGAAGGCCATTCTAAGACGCTCTCCATAAATTATGTCGGCGAGCCAGAACCCGAAATTGCCTGGTTCAAAGACGGCTCGAGAATTAACTTTCATAGTGAATCGAGGTAGTCGAATTTTTTAAAACGTGTTGTTGTATAATTATTATTTTTAATAATTGTGATTAAAAAAATAAATAAAAATAACTTAATTAAATAAATAAATAATTAATTAATTAAAAAACTAACTAGATACCAGCTGTCAAAAGACTTCAAGCAACTGACTATAACATCAGCGCACTTATCAGATGAGGCGATTTTTATGGTGAAAGCTCAAAATGAATACAGCTCAGATGTTATTGAATTCCAAGTCATTGTTTTAAGTCAGTTGGTACTTAGGTGTAAACTTGGGTAGTATTGTATATTTTTTGGTATGATTATGTTTTATTTTGGTATTATCGTTTGCAACTTTTTTGTAGTTTGTATTTCTCAAGAATTTATGTTTTTTTCCTAATTACGAATTAAATTTCATCTGATAGATTTTTCAATCAATATTTTGCTTGTCTACAGTACCGGCAAAGATAAGAGTGGAGACGAGTACCAAGTCAAAATCGTTCGCCATCAAGCACGAAAAATTCACGATCTTTTGTGACGTCATAGGGAAGCCGGTCCCAACGATCACGTGGTTGTTCAATGACAAACCGCTAAAGGACAGTCAGAAGTATGAGTTGACCGGCGGTGATAAATATTTGACCATTAGAAGGACTGATATAAGAGATGATGGTAAGTTTTAATGTTTAGGGTGTCTGGTTCTTCTGCTGTTGTTGTGTTGTAGTATCCGGGTTCTAGTGCAAAAAGATCCCTCCCTATCAAATTTATTGTGTCTGCTGCATGTATGCCTGCCTGGATCAGATTACTTATGAAAATTTTAAATGTCTACAAAATTATATTCATAATAATATTGAAGCAATATTTATAACAATAATAATAATAATAATAATTGATATAAATAGGAACACACGCACACACACAGGCGTACACACACACACACGAACACACAGGAACGTATACCTGCATTGCAAAGAATGAAGCCGGCCAAGACAAGAGAAACTTCTTGTTAAATATTTACGGTAGGTTGTAACAGAAAATATAACTATAATTATAAAATAAAATCCTAACTATAAAATATCATTTCAAAATGGTATACCATTTTTGATAAATTTTAACAACGAAAAAAAAACATAAAAAATCACCAACTCAAACATTATTATCAGTGGCTCCAACAATCGAAGAAGCGGATTTCAAACCGCAGGGCATTAAAGAGTCAAGCATTACATTACGCTGCATAGCTCACGGAATACCCTATCCAAAAATTACCTGGTATTTGGGTGCCACACAAATACTTATGTCAAAAAAGTTTAAGATCATGGAGCAAGGGCGTCACCTAGTTATCGATTCTTTGCTACTGACTGACGCTAACACGTACCGATGTGAGGCTGTTAATGTTGTCGGGAAGGCCTCAAGAGAATTTGTGCTGTCCGTTATGTGTTAGTTTTTGTGGGTCTGGATAGTTGGTTGGTTGGTTGTTCTTTTGTTTGTTTGTTCATCTGTTTGTTCATCTGTTTGTTCGTTTGTTTATCTGTTTGTTCGTTTGTTCATCTGTTTGTTTTTTTATTGATCGAGTTGTTATTTATATTTATAAATATGAAAAAATTTCAGGATTGACATTTTACAAAGTTTAACGGTTTCGAAAGGCCGTACTTAAAACGTACATTAAAGATTAAACATACAAAATTATACAAAAACTAAAACAACATTTAAAAAAACACAACAAAAACATAACACCAACAAAACGAGACACAATACAAAAAACAATTTTTACCATCTAGTACCACCAACATTGGACGAAGCCAACATGGTAGCCAACCCAAAAGTAGCCATCGGAAGGTCAGTGGGTACTTCACAGTACCAGTACCTCACAGTATCTCACCTAGCACTATACACTTCATACAGTATCATGTATCGTATTAATGTTTACAGTACCATGTATTTAAAATGTGTATCATACTTGAAATGTATTTAATGCAGTTAATACAGTCTAGTGTACGGTTTAGAGTACAATTGAGTGTATTGGTCTGATAAGTTTTGTACTTAGTATCGATATGACAATGAAAATTATTTTTAAATTAAATATATAAAAAAGTTTATTGTTTAGTATTGAAATTAAAATATTAGTTTGTATACCTAATATACACGCAAATATTAAACAAAATACGCAATACGAACAAAAGGATTTCATACCACCCCTCCCCAAAAACAGGAGGGTGATGTTAGAATGCCCAGTTTCTGGGGGTTACCCACCGCCCCAAGTTACGTGGTTCTACGAGGATAAGCCTATATCTATTGTCGTAGTGAGAGTTTGTCCGTGTTTGTCTATCTGTATGTCTGTTTGTTTGTCTGTCTGTCTGTGTGAATTTTCTTGTATCGAACTTTTATATAAACAGTACAATCTCCAAAATCACTTTAATTTCATTTTTAATTCATTTATTCGTTTATTCACCCAATCGTTCAATCGTTCATTCATTCATTCATTCATTCATTCATTCATTCGTTCGTTCGTTCGTTCATTCATTCATTAATTCATCCATCCATTCATTCATTCACCCATTCACTTGCTAACTTTTCAGGCTAAACAAGTCGAAGTGATTGACGGAGGGAAGTTTGTGCGCATAAATCAAGTACAAAAGTACCACGAGGGCAAGTATACGTGCGTTGTCGCCAACCAAGCTGGCTCCATCAAGAAGACCTTCAACTTGGAAGTCTTAGGTCGGTTGATTGTAGCAGAAGTAATCTAACGGAAATTTTAATTTAACAGTGATTTGATTATGACAGATGAAATAACAGTTGATTATATCTCGTAAATTGTAGAGATAATTATTTATTATTATTATTTATTATTTATTCTGATCTTAAAAATTTCATATTTTTATTTTTTATAAATGCAGTTCAAGTAACAATTGATGACTCTGATAGACTGGTGGATGTGTATGTGAAAGAAGGCGATGTGGCAATCTTGGAGTGCATTGCTCATGGTCAGTTTTTAGAGGAACATGTTTTTTAGTTTTTCAACCATCAAGCTCACACACACATTCACGCATACACACATACATTCACACACACATATATATATATATATATACGCACAGGCAAGCCCACTCCGTCAATCATGTGGATGAAAGATGGAACGCCTGTCATGGATCTTGATCTTCCTAATCTGAAAGAAAATGACCACGGTCAGTCAAATGCATGGATGAATGGATGGATGGATGTATAGATGCATAGATGGATGGATAGATGCATGGATGAATGAATAAATGAATAGATGAATGAATGTTCGAATTCTCATTAAAAAAAAAACAAAAAAAAACAAAAAAAAACAAAAACAAAAAATTTTGTATTAAACCTGAATTGATTAAAAAAATGAACAGACTAACAAATACATAACTTAAATTTCTATAATTTTCCATAATTTTCCAAATGGTTAATTCAAAATTTTTACTCAATCTTTACCAGGCAAGCAACTGACCATCCACAAAGCAGCGGCGTCGGACGCGGGCGACTACATCTGCCAGGCCACCAACACCGCTGGACAGAAAAAGAAAAAATTCAAACTCTACATTCTCAGTGAGATCATTTTCATTTGTATTTATTTACAAATGGTATTTAATTTCTGTTGATATTAATTCAAAATTTGACAACTTTCAGTCCCTGCGTTCGTAGCTAACCCTGACGACCAGCCGACCATCAACACGGATGTGGGTGCGACAGTGAGGTTGAATTGTGAAGCCCGTGGAGTGCCCACACCCGCGATCACGTGGTACAAAGATAATGTTCTCATTGATTATGAAAGTATTGGAACGGCTTACAGTTTTGAGAATAACAATCAGGTTGGTGTTCTTTTTCAAATTTTTACAGTGTCATATATTTTTTTTTACTTCTATTTGAAAATTTTATTTTGCAAAAATGAACTCGTCTATGTATACAGTAAATAATAACTTGAATATATTTACTGCATTTTTATAAAAATTCAATAAAACGTACAAGTTTCGGAAAAATTAAACTGTAAAAAGTTTTCTGAACCGATAATTTTTGACTGAACGCATATGGCAGGTGTTCATATTTTCATCCGTGAGTGCCTCTAACAACGGTCAGTACTACTGCGAAGTTAAGAACAAAGCTGGTAGTGCCAGGAAGAAGTTCGTCGTCAATGTCAGAGGTGATTTTTTCATTTTGTACTTTAGCGATTAAATAGCCATAACTATGCTTCGTGAACTTTATTGACTCAGACACACACACACACACACACACGCACTCACACACACACATGCGCGCGCGCGTGCGTCTTTTTCGTCTATTCGTTATCTACTATATTGTTATTTAAACTATTGTTTTATACACTATAATGACACAAGCCCTGACGGAATTTTATATTTCGTAAAAACTCCCTTCGATATCTAAATTTGCGATAATTTCTCCAGAGAAATAATAACTCCAATAATAACTCCAGAGAAATAATAACTCCAATAACAACTCCAGAGAAACAAGAAATTAAAAAACCGGCGCTTAGCAGAGAAGTGAAAGTGGTTCTCAAAGTAGGTCAGCCGGTCAGTTTCGAGTGTGACATAGCTACCTCAGTTGCAGATATGGCCAGCATACGTTGGCAAAAAGATGAAACGGAGATAACAGAAGGAGACCATTACAGGCTGGTCAAGCGTGGGACGGTTCTGGAAATCAGCAGCGTTGTTGGCAGCGACGATGGCACATATTCGTGTCAAGTGGCTGACGACAGCGGAGTCAATGTTAAACGGTTTATTCTTAATATCAGGGGTTAGATGGATGTTTTGGAAAGAGTTTTTTTTTTTGTTGTCATTGCAAAAATTTTGTTGCATGTTGTGATGTTTCTGTTGTAGTTGTTGTTTGTGGAGTTGTAGAAAGAGATGTACTGAAATTATTTCAACAAAACTCGCTTCTAGCGCCGCCAACAATTGTAACAAGCCACAGAATGTTGCGAGCGAACGTCGGCTCCATAGTGACCATGAAATGTACAGCATACGGTAGGCCCATTCCTAAAATTAGTTGGATGAAAGATGACGTCATCCTGAGATCTACATCTGGTTGGGTTTTTATCGGGAGAAATTTTTTAATTTATTTTTAGATTTGATTTTTTTTTTGCATCCAAATGTTTTCCAACTAATTTTTTTTATAAGTTTCATAGATTTAAATATACTAAATAATTTGCAGGCAATTCCTCTTTCAATTTTTTTTTATTTTCACTCACATTTTAAATATCCAATTTACAACAATATAAGATTTTTTAATAGAAATTCACCTCTGAATTTAAATTAATTAATATTAATTACTGATTAATCGTAATTCCAGAAATGAACCTCAATTCAAACGGCATGATGCAGTTCGCCTCCATCAGGCAGCAGGACGCGGGCACGTACGTGTGCATCGCAGAGAACGAAATCGGGAAGGCCGTCGCCGAAATTAAGATCACCGTTGAAGGTGGGTTGGTTGGAATGATGGTGACAGTGATGATGATGACTGATAATAATGGTGAAGATGACGACGATGAAGATGATGATGACGACATTGGTGAGAAGTTAATGTATCTATTGAAGGTAGTCTAGTAGGTATAAGAAAGTTAGCTGGTTAACGCTGCAACTAAACCTAATTTTTCCAAAAGACTTGCCCGTAATAGAAGAAAGTGACATGAAAATAATTCACGGTGTGGTTGGACTTGCCATCGTTATCCCCTGTAAGGTCAGCGGAAATCCCCTACCCTCAGTGACCTGGCAGAAGGGAAGTGTGGTACTTGATGCCTCTGAAAGTTAGTACGTGTGGCAGTGGTGGTGTTGTGGCAGTAGTGGTAGTTCCAAATGTTGGTATTTTAGTAATTTTATTTCAAGTAAAAACAGCGATGAACAAATTCAACAGAAGGTTACAAAATTTTGTCTGATGGCTCCTTAAAGATCTTGTCTGTGAGTCAGTCAGATAGCGGCATATACGTCTGCAAGGCCACGAGTGCTACTGGTTCTGCCTTTGCACAGAGGAAACTCGAGTTGACAAGTTTGTGAAATATTAATTTAATTATGATAATTTTGTCATAATAATGGTATAATTACGATTAATATTAGTTGGTTGAATGTTAGTTTTTGTAGTTTATTTGTTGGAGGTGTTTATTTGTTTGGATTTTGTTGCTGTCTTACATTTAAAATATTTTTAATAACTGTTCTTTTTTTAATTTAACTTCAAAGTAAATTGAAAGCTAGTGTCATTACAAAGAGTCGAAACATTTCAATTTATCGAAAGATTAACTTAATTCAAACAAAACCACACCAAAACGAAAATGAAAATAACGAAACGAAAAAACTTAACAAAACCTCTTCCGCCAAAGTTGGACCGGTGATAGAGGAGTCAGAAAAAACATTCCGGGTGATAACTGGCAAGGATCTGGTCCTCCCTTGCAAGGCTTCAGGCTCCATTGTACCTGACATCAAATGGCTGAAGAATGGTCATCCTATCAAAATTGGTCCCAGTCAGCGATTCAATGTACTGAAGAGCGGCTGGCTTGTCATATCCCATTCCAAGTTTCTTCATATTTTTGTGATTTGATTAAAAATTTCTTCTGTATTTTGTAATTAATTAATTATTTTATTTAATTTTTTTTATTTTTTATCTTTGTCACGCAGAGCCAGTGACGTAGGCAGGTACACTTGCATTGCACAGAACAGCGAGGGAACCGCAAGAATTGATATTGAAGTCATCATAAATGGTACTACAATGACGTCATTTTTTTAGAGATGCTTTTCTTTTTTTTTAAATTTTGTTTTTTTCTGTTAATCATTCAACTTTTCACCGAAACAAAACAATTGCAAACAACAACTCAATCCAACAACAACTCAACAAAATCAACACCACAGAACTACCAGAAATCACCATCGAACACAGCCAAGTCATCGTCACGAAGGGTGACAGAGCTCGCCTTGAGTGCAAAGTTTATGGGTCACCACGGCCCAAATTGAAGTGGACGAGAGGGGGCGAGGAGATAGGTGTAAATGAAGGGGGCAAATATAGATTGGAAGGCGAATCCAGCATTCTTGTCATACCAGAAGTTAAGGTGCGTCGACCCCGCGGGCCGTTCAATTCTACAATACTTTTTTGGTCCTTCTTAATGATGTTGCTATCAGCAGCATGCAATGCCTAAATTGACGCATATCACACACGCACACACACACACACACACACATACACACACACACTTTACGTTTGACAGTTTGGAATCTTGTTGCATTCGAACACAGTCACTGCAACAACGGTGCCAAGCATCTTAGCCATTAAACCACATAGTTTTACTTTGAATGTAATAATTCTTCAGAGAGAAGATTCCGGAGCCTACGTATGTTCAGCTAGTAATGCAGCTGGTGTAGAGGCCAAGGAAATCATTCTGCACGTTAAATGTACGTCTGAATGTTTCTCATGAATAAATGCATAAATTATGCAAATCAAGAGGGTTTTCTTAGTAGAAACCACATTTGAATAAATTATTTCTAGCTACGCCCAAGATTCAGATAAGTCAGCAGACGACAACGCTAATGGAGGGCGGAAAAATTGAACTGCAGTGTGAGGTTCATGGCTATCCGACACCGAAAGTTGAATGGGTGATTAATGGAATGAATTTTAATGGTTGGCATTCTTAGGAATATTTGGTCTGTCTGTGTGCGTGTGTGTGTGAATGTGAGAGAGAGAGAGAGGAAGTGGTTGTGTGTGTGTGTATGTATGTATGTGTGTATGTGTGTGTGTGTGTGTGTGTGTGTGCGTGTGTGTGTGTGTGTGTGTGTGTGTGTGTGTGTGTGTGTGTGTGTGTGTGTGTGTGTGTGTGTGTGTGTGTGTGTGAGAAAGAGAGAGAGAGAGAGAGATAAAAATGTCACAAAAATATAGCATAATTCTTGTTTATGATTCCCAAACATTTCAACAAAAATACCAAACCCACAGAAGCGAAAATGAAACTGAAACACGATAGACTTTTTACTGGTAACTTTGAAATATTTTGAAAAATTTATTTAATTTTTAAGATATGTAAAATATCAATCAATCAATCAATCGATCGATCAATCAATCAATTAATCAATCAACCAACCAATCAATCATTCAATCAACCAATCAATCAACCAATCAATCATTCAATCAACCAACCAACCAATCAACTAACCAACCAACCTCTCAGTATCCAAATTCTCTGCAACTGTAAGCAAGCTGATAATAGACAACATCTCTAGTGATGACTCCGGTAAGTATGCATGCGTTGCAAGCAACGAAGCTGGAACGCATAGGAAAGAAGTCGTTATCTCCATCAAAAGTTTGTAGCTGTCGTTTGTAGTTGCTGTTTGTTTGTTTGTCTGTTTGTTTTTTTGTTTGTTTATGTGGTCTTTTATTGATTTATTTTTTAATTTACATATTAATTCATCTGTCAATTCATCTTTTAACTCATTTTCTAATTCATCCATTCATAATATCGTTAATAATTTCATAAACTAGGTTATTGATTCTCGATTGCCTAAATGAATAAATGAATGAATGAACGAATGAACGAACGAACAAATGAATGAATGAATGAACGAACGAATGCAGGAAGCGAAGGATGTTCCAAAGCCAACTGCCAATACGAATGCGAAGATGCAGATGACGGCAAATTCAGATGCAAATGCCCCAAAGGCTACAGATTGGATAGTGACGGAAGATCTTGCAAAGGTATTTTATGGGAGAAACTTTTTAATTATCACAAAAATTATAAGTAATATTATTTCATAATTATTATTATACATTATAATTAATATTATTATAATTAATATTATTATAATTAAACTTATTATAATTAAAATTATTAAAATTATTACAATTAAAATTATTGTAATTAAAAACAATCACCCCTAATACGGTCAGATATTGATGAATGCGCGGCGAAAACGGCCCGCTGTGGTCCAAACGAGTTCTGCTTCAACACGAAGGGCAGTTACAAGTGCGTGGATGTTTCGTGCCCGCCAGGCTACGATAGAGATGCAACCGCCAAGTTAGTTCTATTTCTTGCTGACCGACAGCCAGCCACTACCTACCACAACCAGCTTCTACCAACCACAACCAACTTCTACCAACCACAACCAACTTCTATTAACCACAACCAGCTCCAACTACTCACAACCTACCAAAATCAATCACAACCAACTACACTCAACCACAATCAATCACATTTTACCACAACCAACCACAACTAACCTATTACCACAACCTACCACAACCAACCACAGCATCTGTACGCGACAATGCAACTCAGAGGACAACGTCTGCGAACGTAACGGCGTCTTCTACAAGGAAACCTTACAGTACGTCTTTGTGGCCATGTCTAGCCACATTGAAATGCAACAAACGGCTTTCAAATTATCCGCCTATGACGACCGCCACAACTTCTTGAAGCAAGCCACATTTACAATTCTCAACCAGCACGAAGTTCCATTTGGAATCCGCAAGGATGAAGAAACAGGCAAGGCATTGGTGTACGTTTTAACTCACCTGAAAGAAAATTTCGTCTATAAGATTAAGATAAATGCCGTTTCTAAGGACCTAGTCAAAGAGAATTTATTCTTACAGAATACATTCTTCGTCCATGTTTATGTTTCTCAGTATAACTTCTAAGTTGGTGATGATCTGATGATTGAAATGATCATCATCGTCACGCTGTCCTAATTAAATTAGCATTAACCTCGACTACTATTTAATCACCGTAATCGTTGTAACTGTACCTGCTACCATTGAATCATACGGTCGTCACCACCGTTCAGTCATAACGTAATTCGAATCATCGTCATCGTCGTCGTCATCTTCACATACTTCACATAGAAGCTTTATCATCTTCATCAAGTTAAACATGGTATGTAGCTGGGCATCGTTAAAATCATCATATGAAATGATTAATTGGCTATCTCTTATCATATATATTTATTTATATACATATATATATATATATATATATATATATATATATATATATAGTTTGATTTATTTGCAATATTCATTCGTTCGTTCATTCATTCATTCATACATATTGTATGTATATATATATATATAAATATATATATATATATGTATATATATGTATATATTTATATACAATATCACAATAATAAACTATATATATCAACCTATAATATAATCTATAATATTAATAAGGTGAATGTTTATTTATTTGTATATTTATTTGTCAATTTATTTATTTTATTTATGTGTTTATGTATTTATTAATTTATTTATAAATTTATTTATTTGCAATATTCATTCATTCATCCATTCACTCATTCATTCATTCATCTATTCGCTCATTCATTCGAACAAATTTTTCGGTCGTTCGTACGTAAAATGAAAATACAACTTAAAAACTTGATGCTACGAATTCCAATTACATTGTGTGTGTGTGTGTGTGTGTGTGTGTGTGTGTGTGTGTGTGTGTGTGTGTGTGTGTGTGTGTGTGTGTGCGTGCGCGTTCGTTTAAATCAGTTTAATTCGAGTAGCTGGACTTTTGAAATCATTCCATTTCAACTACTATTACAAAGTTATCAAGGTGGTATGGCTTGTGGAATATTAATTATAACCATCATGTTTTGTTTTATTCAATATTTTTTCTCGTTCCTTTGCTCATTTGATCTTTCATTCCTTTATCTTCAAACAATCGATCCATCAACCAATCAATCGATCAATCGATCAACCAATCAATCAATCAATCAATCAATCAATCAATCAATCAATCAATCAATCAATCAATCAATCAATCAATCAATCAATCAATCAATCAATCAATCAATCAATCAATCAATCAATCAATCAATCAATCAATCAATCAATCAATCAATCAATCAATCAACCAACCAATCAATCAAGCAACCAACCAACCAACCAATCAATCAATCAATCAATCAACATATTAATTAACCAATCAATCAATTAATCAATCAATCGACATATCAATTAACCAATCAATCAATTAATCAATCAATCGACAGTTCAATCAACATATACATCATCCAGTTGTTTCTGGTTATTTATTAATATTATAATATGGATTCGTGTGAGTGTCATTTGATTAAATATATCATTGGAGTTTGTTGTGATCTACAACGTTAACAAAATTTGGCACGCAACTATAGTGTGAATAATCATAAATAATAACAATCATATCAATAATAATAATAAAACAAATAATAATGATGATAATAAACAAAAAAAAACAATAAAAACCATTAATAATGACAATCAAAACCATTAATAATGGCAATAATCAACGATTACAAAACCAGGGACATGTCGAATGGTTCAAGGGTCGACGGCACTGATGATGATGATGGTCAAGATGATGATGACCATGATGATGATGACGATAGTGACGAGATGTCGATGTTGGAGAAGATGATGATAAAAAAGATGATGATGGCGATGGTTGTGATTGTGATGAGGAAGATGATTATGGCAATGGTGATGATGGTAATGATGGTGATGACGATGGTGATGATGATGATTAGGATTAAGAGGATGATGATGATGATGATGAGTCAACTCTGAATCCCATGGACTTTAAGTTTTTCGTTATGACGTTGAAGGACATTGTCATACGACCCTGCGTTTTCATCCTTGTAACTGGCGTGTGTGCGTGCGTGCGTACGTGTGTGTGTGTATGTACGTGTGTATGTGTGTGTGTGTGTACGTGTGCGTGTGTGAGAGTGTACGTGTTGGATCATCTCCTCGTCATTATCACCATCTCATCACACGCACACATCATCACCACATCATCATCATTATCATCATCATCCTATCATCATCATTATCATCATCGTCATCATCACATCATCGTCATCATTATCGACATCCTATCATCATCCCATCATCATCACATCATCGTCATCATCACATCATCGTCATCATCACATCATCGTCATCATTATCATCATCATCCTATAATCATCATTATCATCATCACCTTCTCGGCCATCCCCTTCGGCCAGTATCCGCGGGTCGGAGAGTTCGGGCCTTCTGCTGGTCAGCCAGCTGATCAGCTGTTGGATTTGAGACGAGGATTCAGGTACAAACAGTGGAATTGTTTTAACGTGCCTGCAGAAAAAAAGTTATAATTATAAAAATTATTATGATTTATTATTATTATTAAAATGAAAATATTAAATATTATTGGGAAGACGGTCTGATGGCTAAAACGCTTGGTTGTTGCGACGTGTCATTTACAAAAAAAAATATATTCAAGTACGTTGTCATCCTTGTGTGATGTGTGTGTGTACGTGTGTGTGTACGTGTGTGTGTGTGTGAGAAAGTGTACGTACGTTGTCTCATTGATGCATCTAGAGTAAAAGCAGTAAAAAAGAATGACCTCTGACATTTTTAAATATTAATAACTATAGAAAAAAACAAATTGACGCAAGTGAATTTAAACTATCACAAAAACCTCCCAGCTACAGTAGGGATGTGAGTCATGCCGTAACCCCTGATGACGTCATTCCCAAACAAGTCGTATCCGTAGACGTGTATCACTATTCTAGGCCCTGGAAAAATTACGAAAGATAGCTCAGTGATTGTATGCCTAACCCTTTTTATCTCTGTTGAATTGATTGGCAAAATGAAATATTATAATTAATGCAACTAAATATTATAATATAATAATGCATATTAATTTATGTTAATGAATGATTAAGACAGTAGATTGGACGTCACGTACATCCGAACGGATTAGTGCTTTTGAATCCGACTTCTAATGGGAAATTGATTACAAAAATCTGCCTTCCATCTTGACTTTTTTTCACTGTTTGAGACAAACCTTCCTCCAAACCCTTGATTTGAATAATTCGCATGTTTCGTTTAAATACGACAGATTTTAAAAAAACCCAATAGATTCGGTTTTTATTCATTTTATACACGAGCAGCACATTGTATAGTATAGTATAGATATCATCATAAACGACGCTAATGTATTTAAATTGCAAATTTCAAAAACAGCTAAAATTAATGGTCAATAACATGCATATGTTTCAATTCAATAATAAAATTGTTATCTCAAACATAGTGGCTAATATCCAGAGATATCGACAAAACACACAAACACACTCAAACACACACATAGACAGATAGACACACACACAGACACGTACATACACATATACAACACAGTATGCTCAAATCATACACTATTTATTTTTATGCACTGTTCTTTGAAAATCTCACCGAAGCTATATCCCAGTCCTGGCCAAAAACGTACTGGTACCGACAGTAGATATCATCATACTGGGGAAACTGTTTAGGTTTTGTTTCATTCATTCACCATATTTTATTTCAATATTTATTCATTAATTAAATAATAATGATTTTTATACCACCTCAGCTGTTTCAATTTGACCATTGACCATTAACAGAAATACGGTCTCGTTGCCTAAAGACATCTATAAAAAAATTATATTTCAAAGTTAAAGTTTAATTATAAAGTTAAAATTTTATTCTTTGGTTGTATAAAGGTTTTTAAATGATCAATTTAGGATTATTTTGGATAAAATTAACTTTTTTAATAAAAATAGTAAGCGTTGCTTTGGCAACGGATCAAAGACCAAATGAATCATATATTTCCATAAATATTAGAAGTTTAAAGTATCACTTTTTTCTGAGGTGTTTAACTTTATTATACGTTTTTGTATGCAATATGTTTTTAATTATTAATTAATTAAATTAAAAAACTAATTAAAAAATTGCATAGAAATGCTGCTAACCAATCTATGAAGAGAAACCTTTGTAGCACCTTACGGTGTTTGAAGAACCCGCTCGTTTTAATTACACTGACAATAATAAAATACTTTTCAAATACTGTGATCGCCATTTTTCTACTTTCAATCATTATTTTGCTCGTTTACGAACTTTTTTAGAAATAAACAAAGAAATTTACTATTTCTATAAAATCTATATATTTATAAAAGTTTTTGAAGATAATGATTTTTTGTTTTAACCTCTCTTGGACATAGCAATGGCTGACAAAAGAAAACTTCATGGTTAGTCTTCCTTTTTTATTTTTTGTCTGCTTGCTTTTTATAAAGTTCTGATCTTTTGTTAAGACGTGTTTCACTGATTTTAGTGTAGCTTTGCGCATTTTATTTATTGATTGAATTTAATTTAATTTTCATGAACCTGCAGCTGAGGTTGATCGCTGTCTGAAGAAGGTTACAGAAGGTGTGGAAGCTTTCGAAGATATTTGGAAAAAAGTAAGTGTGGCTGTTGATTGATCGTCGTTGAGAGAGTTCTCTTTTGATAAATGATAAATGAAGTGCTTGCTATGTTTGCTTCTATAAAATTTTTGTGACTATTTTTTGACTCTTCTGATTGATGATTGTTATATCATCATCTTTGTCTGATTTAAGTCTTTAGCTAAAAAAACTAACTTGACTAAACTGGCAATCTTTTTAAACGTTTTTCAACTAATTTTACTAGGTGCACCAAACAAATAATGTCAATCAAAAAGACAAATTTGAATCAGATCTCAAGAAAGAAATCAAAAAGTTACAGGTACGAACATTTATCCTTTTCATAACATTATCTCATCTTTTGATCATATTTTTTTAATAATATTATTATTATTTATAATTGACCAAAAAATATTACCAAATAGATGATAATTTATTATTATTTTCATTTGGTCCTCAATGATTGGCGTATGTTTTTTTTAAACCTCACAGAGGCATAGAGACCAAATAAAGACATGGCTGTTATCTTCTGATATTAAAGACAAGCAAATACTCATGGAATATAGGAAGAACATTGAAAATGTACCTATTCTTTTGTTCAATTTTGTTGTATGTATTTAAACAAATTTTTCATACTTAATTATTTTTTCATTAAAAATTACTTATGTTTTACTTAGATTTTAAAAAAATTGTTATATTTATGTTAATAAATGATTTATAATGTAAATTCACTAGCAAATGGAAAAGTTCAAAATAATAGAGAAGGAGACGAAGACGAAAGCGTATTCAAAAGAGGGGTTGGTGTCAACTGGGAAGGTTGATCCTAAGGAGAAAGAACAAGAGGATATTCGTAATTGGATCACGGTAGTATTTCTAGATTTTTATTTTTTTTTTAAATTTTAATTATAGAGCATTGCAATTGTCTATTTTTGAGTAGATATGGGAATGAACAAGACATTGAAGAGTATGCTTGCTTAAAGTTCATTTGATGTGTTTAAGCCTAAATATAGCTCTACCCAAACATTCATTATTCTGTATGCCAAGCAAATTCAAACAGATTCTCATATTTTTAGTTTCTCGTGAAAATGAATTCAATTATGTTTCATTAAAATCCCAATTAAATAAAAGTAAAATGGATGTAAAAATTGACATCTAACCGTTGTTACCTAATTTACAGAATGCCATATCCAATTTGAACCAGCAATACGAGAAATTGGAGAGCGAAGTCGAAGCGTTGACAGGGAAAAAGAAAAAACTGGACAAGGAGGTAGTTTGATAAGGAGGATGAACGTAATGATGTAATGAGGTGAAATGCTGTGTTGACGGGATTGAGTAGGTGATTGTATTGCCGAATTATTTGTACAGTTGATGAATTAATTAATTAAAATTGATGGCAAAGAAAACAACATTCTACCTCGGGAACTGGGTCTCTGGATGCTAAATGATGATTGATTGAATTATTTGTACAGCACTTCTCGTGATAGTATCTATATAATGAGATGGTGCAATAATAACTTCATATGATATTTTACTTCATATTTAGCAGATGCCATTTTAATAATTATAGTTTGTAATTTACCTATCTATTCTTTTTAAATAAATGGTTTTGTATCAATTTTTTACTTTTCATATATTATTTTTTTAGGATCACTCTAGACTTGCGGGTTGCAAATTAACTCTGGAAAGGCATCGCTTTCACATTGACAAGTTGGAGACAGTTCTCAGACTAGTGGACAACAGTGCCATACAATTTGAACAGGTCTGTCTAGTCTGTTGTCAGTCATTTTGTCTGTGTCTGTTTAGTGTCTGTCTGTCTGGTCTGTTTGTCTGTTTATTTTTTTTGATGATGTCTTTCTTCTAAAAGTGATCCTTCACACTATGGTGGTTGTTGTGAAGTAATATTTTCACTAAATAATTCCTTCTTCACAGTTATTGGTAGCATTATTATTATTTTTACTGGTCAGTAGATAGAAAGATTTTAGGAGGGAGAGAGAGAGAGAGAGAGTTTTGAGGAGAAAGATGGTGAATTGCTATTAAGCATAAAAATGGTTTCATCAGTGGCATTGATTTTTAAATGTTTTGTCCTGCTGCTGTTCATGCCAGCTGATTAAAAACATTCAGTAATGATGACTCAACTGAATGGCAGAAGATTTACACTTTCACATTTGTAGGCATTTTCATAAATGCAATGGTTAAAGTATAAATAGGTAGTAGAGCTAGTTGCTTTGTTAGTATAATAATAAGTGTATTAGTTTATACTATAATAATGAAAAATATAATTAGATTTACCAGCCTCTGCACAAACACAAATACACACATGTACACTTACAATATGTTACACAAAAAATAATCCACAATTCAGATACACATGCATTCACATACACACACACACTCGTACACACATGCTTAGGTTTTACACGCACACACAAAACGACACATATTCAGATTCAGTCAATACGGGATAGTGTGGAATACTATGTGGAGAATAATGAAGATGGAGACATAGATGCAAATGAACTGATCTATGAGGAACTTCAGCTGGATGAATTGAGCTCCATGTTACTCAAGAATGAAAACAATGGCACAGTGACTACTAACTCGTCGTCGATTACTGCAAACTCATCGCCGTCAGGGAGTGAACTTGACATTCCATCGTCTCTGGGGGCATCGAATGCCAATCATTTTCCTAATAACCTGTCACCTGTCTCTGCTCCTGCTACTGTCAATAGTTTCAATCATTTCAAAGTTTGTTTCTTTGCTGTATTTGTATATGCATGCTTGTGTCTGTGTGTGGGTCTGTGTGTGTTAGTGTTTGCGTGTATGTCTGGTTTAAACTTATATTTCGAAGTTTAAGAAATGTAGGAGTGTAGTTTTTTAAAAGTTTTTTCCCTTCCTCAATTATTCAGCTAAAAGATGATGACATTAAGAAGAGACCCAAAGTCTCTGATGATATTGTTAGTTGCCATTTTTGTGTTGTATATGTCTGTTTTCATACAACAATCATCACCAAGTTGTTAACGTCATCGCCATCATCATCTTCGTCATTGTCTTTCCTTTGTTTAATAGATTAATTTCTTTAAATGAAATATTGAGGTGAGTTTTCATTAGGGAGATTGTATTTAGTGTAATGTTGATTTTTTTTTTATCGCCTCTTCAGGGTTTGTCACTGAAATCTAGCACCTCCAAGCTGTCGACATCATCTTCATCGTCATTGCTTCCAACATCTTCACCGTCATCGTCATCATCCCACCTCATCAAACCATCACCGCAGACACCTACTAAACTTAGCTTTACTTCCAGGTTTGTTCATATTCTTATTCTTTCTTCAATTCCTCTTCATTTTTTTTCATTTTCTTCTTTCATTTACTACTAGTAGTACTACTTTTACTACTGCTACATTGTATGTGATAGTTTAAAATGTTTATATTCTTATGTCTTTCTTCATAGTCATAAAAAAATAATAACGATAGTAATAATTTCTCCAAGCAGTACTATTCCAACGACACCTACCCTACCAGCACGTCTTAGCGCCACAAGTTCAACACCAGGATTGGGCTATGCCCAGGTGGCCAGTTCTCATCACTCAGGCACCCATTCGAGTTAGTGTTTTTTTTTGTGTGGGATTGGTTTGTCGGCTGGTTGGTCGTTCGGTCGGTCAGTTGGTTGGTTTATTGGTCAGATGGTTGGCTGGTTAGTTGTTTGATTGGTTGATTGATTGATTGATTGATTGATTGATTGATTGATTGATTGATTGGTTGATTGGTCTGTTGGTTGGTTTACAAAGTTGTTCATTGATGACGCAGACAAGTTGCAATCCAATGCGCCCTCGAAGCACTACCATAGCACAAGCAACGGTCTAATAACGTCTTCAGGGTTAACATTTCAACCGCCATCATCCTCATCATCGTCGTCCTCCTCATCAACCGCCATCATCGCATCTTCACACAATGAGACAACAATCCTTTATACATCATCGTCGTCATCTTCATCATCGTCTCTGTTGCCATCATCTTCATCGTCGTTGATGCCGGCCACAACCTCAACTTCATTGTTAACTGCATCCAGTAATTCATCTGCTTACAGTTTAGTGTCTTTTTTTTGTTTGTCTTTTTGTTGATGTCTTTGGATATTGGCGAAGGTTGCGGTTGCTTCTACTACTACTACCTCTACTACTACTACTACTAGTAGTAGTAGTAGTAGTAGTAGTACTACTTTTATTACTGTTACATTGTATGTGATAGTTTTTTGTTTAATTTTTAAAATCATTTATCTGTGTGTCTATTTATCTATCTACCTATATCTACCTATCTATTTATTGTATAATCAGTTTTTTTAATTGTTTTTTCTCTGTTGTTACAGAGTTTTATAATGATGAGTATTGTTGTTTTTGAAGGAAAAAATTTTTTACAAAAACGTTTTTTCAGAATTTTTTTTTCTCTAATACCATTTTCCATTTATCTTTTGCCAGATTCTTATTCTTCTGTTACCACACTTGTAGCAGCTACAGCAACGACAACAGCAGCGGCAGCAGTAACGACATCGTCTTCATCACAGCAAGGCTTCAATTACAGCAACAGCATGATGCCAACATCATCCGCAACAGCGACTATGATGACGACATCTGCACAAGCCACAGCGACGACGACGACGACATTAACCACAACAGCAGCAGCACATTTATTTCTGACATCTAGTCAGTCCAGTTGTAATAATGGTTACATATCCAATCCACTCCTCTCTTCGACAGCACTATCACACCTCATGTCGTCGAAGCCACTGATTAGCAACAGCATCATCAACAACAGCAGCAATGCAGCACCACATTTGATGCAGCAACATCCACCGCAGCCACAACAGCCACACAATTGGTTGAATAGTAACCACCATTCTTACCCTACTAAAGTTAACAATGGCCCCTTGCTTCCAAATGGACCACCTGATTCTAAGATTTATCTTCTTCAGGTTTGTCGTACCACATCTGTTATAACTTAATTGCTAATGATTAGTTAGTTTGTTTGTTTGTTATTTGGTTGTTGGTTTGTTTATTTTGTTATTGATATACCAATTAATTAATTATCTAATTAATGTTTAAATTTTTTATAATTGTGGTAAAAAAGTAATATATCTCTTTACCTTTATTGTGTTGCTTGCACTTTTATAGTAATTCTAAATAAATGTTTGTCATTTTCTGTTGAGTAAAAATGGATTATATGTGTTTGTATTGAAATTTTGTATTTATGTTTGTACCCGTGTTTGTGTGTGTGTGTGTGTGTGTGTGTGTTTGTCTGTTTGTCCTTTATGGAATAGGCAAAACAATTTATGAGAATTTTGCCCGATTATAGTTTGTATTTAGGCTTGCTTGCACACACTTATGAACATGTGGGTTCTGGGATTGTTGCTAGCTGCTACTGTACTGTACAACTTTAATAATAAACAACAACAGCAGAAGCACATATTAATGACTGTTTTGATTTCCACACTGGAAAATTTCTTACTGTTGGATTTAGAATTTTTTTTTTAAATTTTGCATGTTGTTAATTCAAAGTGGTTGTGATTTCGTTTATACAGTGGAAAAAAAAATTTTCTCTTTTAAAAGTTTGTTAATTATAAACTGAAAAACAAACAGCCTGATGGTAGCCAGAGTGCTGATTTGAAAAAATTGAATCTCAATGCAACACTGACATCATCGTCGTCGTCGTCAGTAGCGTCGTCACAAGCCGCATCGTCGTCGGGAGCAACTGCATCATCCTCATCATCATTAGCATCCATGCCTCCGACATTTCCAACTACATTGTCCAGTTTGAATCACTGCATGAAGCATGATTCGTTCATCTCGCATTCGTCTTACATCAATGGCAAGGGTAAGTTGGGTGTGCGCGTGTGTGTGTGCGCGCAAAAAAAAGATATGTATAAAAATGTATATTTTCAATTATGTGATCATAGAAACAATTAGTTATTTGAACATTCATCTCCTTCAGTAGGCCTAGATTCCAGGGGCACCAGCCTGGCAGCTAGTCCAATAGTTTTCTCCCAACAGCAAGCAGCACAACAGCAGCAGCAACAGCAGCAGCATCGTCAGTTGCAGCAACAACAACATTTGGTTGCTTCCCTTGCACTTCAACAGCAGTCAGCAGCTGGAGCATTGACAGCACAAACATTGTCGTCAGCAGCAGCAGCAGTAGTAGCAGCAGCTGCAGCTACGCAGACGGTTGCATTTAAACCCATATATGGAGTGACCCCACTTGGTCCAGTTCCTCTAACTCCCGAACATGAGTTTCAACTTGCCATGTTAGAAAGGGCTTCTAGAAGAATGCCCATGTTAAATGATTCAGAAAAGTTCAGGTTGGCACTGCGCATATTTTTTAGCCTACTTCCTTTGGGAATGTTTTTTATAATTTAAGTCATTCCATTTATGTGTTTCACGACATTCAGTACCTGCTTTATTAAATCATTCAATGTATAGAAATATGTTGATCCTTAATTTTCTTATTGTGTTTTCAAATTGAGATAGAACAGTTGCAGATCAAAAAAAATAAGTTGCACATCATAGCAAAAGTGTGTGCATGTTTTTCTTCACACAGGGAGTACCTTCCAAACAACTCGTGCCCCACCAAGTTGTACCCCCAACAACTCATACCACCACTGCAGGCACCTGATTTCTTCAGCAAACTTGAACCTGAAACTCTCTTTTTCGTCTTCTACTTCATGGAGGTCTGTCTGTCGTTGGGTGTGGTTTGCTCTGTCATGTTTACTCTAAATGTTTACTTGCTTGTGATGACGTTTGAGCTCTCATTACACCGTCATGTCACTGCATCGGCATCTCGTCGCTTCACCATCATGTCACCATTTCATCACATCCCGATGACCACCACAAACAAAAGGGAACGAAGGCCCAATACCTGGCAGCAAAGGCCCTGAAGTTGAAGTCATGGAGATTCCACACAAAGTACCTCATGTGGTTTCAGAGGCACGAGGAACCTAGGGCCATAACCGAAGAGTTTGAACAGGTGTGTGTGTGTGTGTGTGTGTTGGTTCATTCGTTCGTTTTTGTTCGTTCGTTCGTTCGTATCTGACATAAAGGTGATAAAAGTAGAGAGTATGATGATTAATTAAATTGCTATTGTCCAGTTGGATATGCAATGTTTATTAATCTCACACAAACTTTTATATACACATGCACACGCACACAAACTCACACGCAAGCACGCATACGCACACAAACTCACACACACACGTACGCAGGGAACTTACATATTCTTTGATTACGAGAGATGGGGGCAAAGAAAGAAGGAAAACTTCAAGTTTGAATACAAGTAGGTTCCTCTTTCTGATTGGCTGTTGTAAATTTTTAAATTTCATTTGAGGATCGCTGATTGGTTAAGAAGTTTCAAATTATCATCATCCTCCTTCTTTCATTGGTTGACAAATTATTAATGTTTCACCAATTATTATGACTAATTGTGATCATAATATTTTGCAATATATCTGTCCAAAGGTATCTAGAAGATCAGGAAATTTGAAATGATGATGACGACGACAATGACGTTTTACCAATGATCTAGATGATGATGATAGTTTGTAAAATGTAATTAAGTTTATATTGTAACCATTATCACCACCGCCGCCACTACTTCTACTACTACTACTACTACTACTACTACTGCTGCTGCTGCTGTTGACTATTATCACCACCACTACTACTACTAGCACTGCTGTTTCTCATTTTGTTTTTTATTTGATTTGTTTCCATCTTCAATGAATTAACAATATTCACTGATGATGATGATGATGACGATGTGATGATGATAATGATGACATTAGTTTTTCTTCTTATTTTATCAACTGTTCGTCTTTTATTATCATCAAAGATTTTTTTAAATTTCACTGGAATTAGTATTAATCGAAGCTGAGTGTTTGTTTGTTTGCTTGTTTGTTTGTTTGTTTGTTTGTTTGTCCGTTCCTTTGTATGTTCGTTCCCGTACAGGTATCACTTCAAAACTTGAGTTTTGTATGTATGCATGCATTTTTAATACTTTATCAATTTCTTTCGTATGTATATACCTTTGTATGTATATTTATGTGTGTGTGTGTGTGTGTGTGTGTATATATGTAATTTTGTACATACTTTGAACGTAGGTTTGTTTGTATGTATGTGCTTATATGCGTATTCGTTTGCATTCATGTTTGTATATTTGTATGTATGTTTGTATGTATGTTTGTATGTATTTCGGTGATACATTTGTTTGTGTGTGTGTACATATGTGTGTTTGTATTGTATATATTTTGTGCGCGTGTTTGTATATATTTTTGTATGTTATATTCACACATGAGCAAGCATGGATTTAAAACATTAACACGTTCGTATTTATGCAACTTCTTTATTATTTAAAAAGCAGATGGATCGATCGATCTGTCACTCAATTAGATAATTAAATGGATTAATTAGTTAATTGATTATTTAATTAATTGATTGATTAATTATCACGTGGAAGTTTTGTTCGTTTTAGCTTTCATTAATAACTAACTGTTTTAGTGTGTTTGGGACAGATTTTGTTATAAAACACGATGTAGTGATAATGAACTTTTGAGGAATGTTTTTGTTGAATTGGATCTATTCATTTATCATTTGGTCGATTGATTGATGGTTTGATTGATTGATTAATTGATTGATTGATTGATTAATTGATTGGTTGGTTGGTTGGTTGGAGGCATTGCTTTCAAGCATAACATTTTTGTAATAAATTAGCCATCTCTTTCTTATTCAAATTTTTATTATTCTTATTATTCGCTTTTTTTATTATTCTTATTCTTACACTTAATGTAATCTATTCATGATGATTATAGCTGCCAAAGAAGATGCCATTTGTTGGGGGGTCTTTGAGGTGGTAGAAAGGGGGCCTACTGGAGCCCCTTCCCACCCCCATGATGTTGTCTTCGAGTTTGATAAAAAGTGTTATTTTTCATTTACAATCAATTGGTATTGACAGGATATTTCTCGCGTTTGTAAAAACACCAAAATCACTATACACTTACTTCCAACATTTATACATGTAACATATATACGTACGTATGTAGTATATATAGCTTGTGTTTGTGTGTGTGTGTTAGTGTGTGTGGTTCATTCATTCGTTTGTTTGTTCGTTCGTTCGAAGAATTAAACTTTTCAACCGTACCTAACCGTAAAGTGTTAAATTAATTAGACGGCGAAGATGGCGATGTTAATGTTGATGATGATGATAACATTATTATTGTTATTATTATATTATTAATTATAGTGATGGCGTTGATGAAACGATTATAGACGTTGATCTGTCTGTGTGTGTGTGTTTGTGTGCGTCTGTGTGTGTGTGTGCGTGTGTTTTCGTCGTCTTTCATAAAATGTAGTTAATTAAAAGAAGTTTGTTGTTTGTTGTTTATTTTGGGTTTTTAATCGGCGATAATAACGATAAATTGCTACAGCAGTTATTTGTATTATGTTTATTATTATTATTATATATATATATATATATATATATATATATATATATATGTATGTATATTATGATCTTTGTGATTAATATGAATAGTTGGACGGGGTGATGACGATGATGATGTTTTACCGTGATGACGTAATGTGTGCTTTTTCTTTTCTTTATTCAGTTGTCTCTATTTAAATACCTACTTATTTTATCAAAGCATCACGTATATATATTATTATTACTACTGCTGCTGCTGCTACTACTACTACTACTACTGTTGTTTTATTACTGTTTTGATTCATTATTATTATTTCAATTCCATGTTTCAATTTTCAGGTGTTTAGTAAGTCGTTTATTATTATTATAAATGTTGTTATTATTATTATTTTTATCATTTTTGTAGCGCAATTTGCGCATATATATATATATATATTATTAATTTTCTTTTTAATTTTTCTATATTTTTTTAATCACTGTTTTTAGATTCAGGATTTTTGATTTGGTTTTAAAATGTTTTATTATGTTTTATTATTTATTTATTATTATTATTACTGTTTTAATTTGTTATTATTATTATTAATTAATTAATTAATCTGATAATAAAACTAACGCAATATTCGTTATAATAATATTAACAATGATGTGTGTGTCTGTTGGTCTGTCTGTTTGTCTGTCTGTCTGTGTCCATGTACGTTTGTGCACGTGTTTTCATTTTTCACTTTTCTACTTTTAAACTAATTAATACCTTATTTATAATAGATTTTATTACAATTAATTAATAATTATTATTATTGTTGTTGTTGTTGTTTCTGTTAGCATTCATAATACTGGTAATGATGATGCTGATGCTATTATCATTCATTGGTATGTTTATCATCATTATTTTATAATGAGATATATATATATATATATATATATATATAGAATGCTATAATATTGAAATCATGGGAAAATAATTTTCCAACTGTGATATTCATGGTTTATATATCCACACGTGTGTGGAATACGTACGTGTGTTTATACGTATGTGGTATGTGTATATATCTCTACATACGTATGTGTGTATGTTACTAACATGTGTTTTCTCTGTCTCTCTCTTTCTATATATATATATATATATATATATATATATATATATATATATATTTATAAAGATCACTGCGTTTTCGGCATTATTCAACTTGTAGTTGAGTTTCTCAATTTTTCTAACGAGACTTTTATCATCTTGACGAAGTTTACCAAGGTTAAATAAAAAACTTTTAATTTTTGACAAAACATTATTAATAACGTTATTACTACATTAAAGCGTAACTTTATGAAAAAACCAAATATTATTGAAAAAGAAATCGAAATTGAAAAACTAACCAACAAATAATAACAATGAGCAATACAATATCGGCACAACTCAAAGCCGAAAGCAAGAAATAAAGAGAATCCTTCAAAAGCAAGCTGCTTACAAAGAGATGCCGGAAAAAGCTTTTCTGTAGTAATAACGTTATTAATAATGTTTTGTCAAAAATGTCAAATATTAAAAGTTTTTTATTTAACCTTAATAAACTTCATCAAGATGATAAAAGTCTCGTTAGAAAAATTGAGAAACTCAACTACAAGTTAAATAATGTCGAAAACGCAGTGATCTTTATAAATAATTGTATTTAGTCTAAACCCAATACATATATATATATATATAATCAATCAATGTTTTATTATAAAACCGGTTGATTAATTGATTGATTGATCATCTGTAAGCATTTTTAAATTAAGTTTTTTGAGTGCGTGCGTGTGTGTATGTGTTTGTATAGCATGTGAAAGCATGTAACATCACACATAACGTTTTCTTTTTTTACGTACAATAAATAACAGAACAATAATATCAATAATAATAATAATGATAATAATAATATTGACTATAGTAAAATAATTACATTCATACATTAACACTACACTATCCGTTCAACAGCAATTTCGTGCGTTTCGTACATTTCATTTTTATCAATATTTTAGTTTGATTTTGACTCTTTATTATTTTATCATTATTATTATTATTTAACTACTATTTTCCGTGTTACACTTTTTATTTTAACAGGCAAACATGTGCATACTCGAGTTTTTTGGTTGTTTGTCTGTTTGGTTTGGTTTCTTCTTAAACGATCGAAATACGATGAAAATTTAAAATCTTCAGATACTCCATAGTTGATAAGAGAGACTGAGTTTAATTCGTTTGGACAGATGTTTGCATGCCATGGAGACAAAGTAAGTGGCAGAATAAGTAGAATTAATAATGTGTTGATGTAATAATATATTATGAACAACCTGGTAAAATAAGATTTTGTTTAAAAGTTTGTGACTCATTTGGAAAACATCTTAATTAAATGCATTGTACCATCAAAGAACTTGTTGACTTTACTAGTTTAGTCTACTAGTCGTACTAGGTTTTTTTTTAAATTTAAAGCCGACACTTATACAATTTATGCGATTTGCAAAGGTGATTATTATTTTAGCAGACCAACACGTTGTAAGCGAATTACTAGTAGTATTATGTAACAGGTTAAGTAAAACTAACACCGATAAATCACTTAGAAACTTTATTCAATTTATTTTACAAGAATTAGACAAGAATTAACGCAGTTGATCGGGGCATATGTACAGTAAACGTACACATATATGTACAATATCCATACTTAAACATTAAAAAAGTTAATAACTTTTTCAAAAGCAAAATTTTGAACGTAATAAAGTAAGGTTACAGTATGTTATGTATATTTGTGTTGTTATTCTTGTTATTCTAGAGTGATTGTTGGTACGTTATGATGGTGATGATGGTGGTTCATTGTTACCGGCTTGTAAGTTCTAATAGGTTTAGTCTGCATAGGGAAATAATTAAATATATTATTTCATCAAATATAGATAGTATTTTTTCGGCAATTATTTATATATAATTTAAAAGTGAAATAATATAAAATAAATGATATAACCGTGAAATGATATAACCGTAATGGAGGAACGAATAAATATTGAAAATGGTTTGGCATCACGTACCTTATGTTTTGGGCATAATAGTGAAAAGTTCTCTTCTTGGAAAGCACAATCTGAAACGCAAGTTTGTTTTTAAAAGTAAATTCATGTGAAAGAAAGTAATAATTTGATGATAAATTTTATGAACAAATAGATGCCGAATCGAAAATATAAAAATTGAGACGATGTAGTGTAAAAATAAACCGAAATAGTGGCTACGGACCTACACTTTTACCACAAATGAAGTGGTATTTCTGGCTGCAACCTTTTACCATGCAGCCGACTGTGGCACCCCTCTGGTGACACACGCAACAAATCTGTTTGAAGAGGAAAAAAAATTTTACTAATTTCAATTTTCAATAATTCATTTTTTTACTGTTTAATGGTATGTCACTTTTGAATCATTCAACAACTAAAAAATTTTGATAAAGACGCAAACCGAGTTCAAGGCCACAAGAGCAGCTTCCTCGAGACCTTTGACCCTTCCACCGGCAACACATACGCCCCCTGCCCACACTGCACACTCTCCATGAACCCACATCTCCATTGGCAGTCCGTTTGGCAGGACATGCAACTGTGAGCTTGTCTTGTCGTTCGATTTCTGAGATAACTTTCTACTGCTGCCGGAATTTGATTTATCAGAAGTGCTGATTTCCGCCACTAATCTAGGAGAAGTATTCTGTTGTTTAATCAATTCTATATTAGGTGTGAGCATGATGTTTGTTTGTTGGGGTATGTATGGGCCATAAAGATCTCCCAAAGTCACGTGACAGCTGCCATGGCAGCAGAAGATACATTTCCAAGGCACATTTGCAATCATTTGACTGGCTGCTTTGCTACTGCATGACTCAGATGACAGCATGCTGTATCTGGCAGTACCCAGTGTTGTGTCAGTTTCTGTTGGGTCGTTCATTATCTTGCAGATCGTTGGCAAATCTTTGGACGTTTTACAGTGAATATAAGGCCCAACCAGAGCTGAATGTGAGTTGTCTGCTAACTTTCGTCTGTCAAACTTTGATGAGTTATTGTTCTGGTGGCTGTTTCTGTGAGGCTGTTTGTTGACAAATCTGCTAACTATTTTCGAATTGATCTGGTCTTCTTCATCATAATAATCATCTAATTTATTCTTTCTTCTATCTTTTTTGAGCCTTGATGTGTTTCGTTTGTTTGGTTTAGTAGCCTGTTGTCGATTCCTTGCTGTCTTCTTGGGTCTTGTTGGTTGCTTGGAGGTTGAATCACGTTCAACTGTCCCAGATTTGATAGCAGCCGGTGTTGAAGGGATGTGGGAAGATGCTAGCGAAACATTTTTCTGTCTTTCTGGACTTGCAATTTCAGTTTTTTGAAGCGATTGTTGCAAAGTAGGAAGCTTGTTGTTGGTATCAAAGTCACATGAACTGCTGTCATCGAGATCATGAATGCTGTTCTCTTCTGTAGCTGTCATTGTGTTGAATGACGTGTCTGCAATTTTGCAATTATCCTCATTGTCAATGAGGTCAATATTTTCCTCGACATTTGAGTTATTCGTTTTAAGCATTTTTAAGTTTAATAATTTTAAATTTTGATCATTTGCTGCTCTACGGCCGTCCATTTCTTCATCAGACAAACTGATATCAATGATAGTTAAGCCCTCTAAATCATCGACTTCATTTACTTCTTCTGTGAACTGTTCTGGCATGTTGAAAGGCATAAGAGGATGATCTGCATTGTCATCATTTCGCTGGTATACATGCTTCACAAAATACTCCTCTGAAGATATATCTTCTACTAAAATTTTTGACTGACCATTAACTGTTGTTGTTGGAATGCATGTCGTTATTTTTACTGCTTCTGATGTGATGATGTTATCAGGTTTTGAATAATTTGGAGAATAATTTTCAAACAAATTTTCTACTTTTTCACCCAGACTAGAAGATTTTGTGGTGTTTTGTGGTTTTGTGGAGATTGAAATGCTAGAATTACGCTGACCATCATTGTCATGTTTGCAATTATTGACAATACTCTTATTAGAAGTAGAAGCAGTAGTATCATCCTTATTGTTGGTATTATGGCTGTTGTTAGTACGAGGGTGTCTGTACGTGGGTCTGTATGTTTTGTCTCGAGAATCTTTGGTATGTCTCCAATCTGATTTGTTGGCAGCCACTACCCTGCTATAACATGATTCACTTTTTTCAATCTTCTTCTCGTCCTCTTCGTCGATATAATCATCGAGATAATTTGATCTTTTAGTAGGCTTTCTAACACGTTTTCCTCGACCTTTGTCATCTGAACTGGCTATGAGGTCGTCGTCATAGTTTTTTAATTTTTTCCTCCCATTTACTGGAGTAGTTGTGTCTGGATCTAATTTTCGTTTGTTGTTTGTGGAAGTGTTATTTTCCAATTTACCGCAAATGTCCTCGATTATATCTTTTGGTGAATCTGCACCGTTTGAGTCAGATTCAATTGAGAATGTGTCTGATTGGGTTGTATTCAATTGTCCATTGTGATTGTTGCCGCTGTTAGATGTTTTTGACATCATCACAGCTAATTCTGTGGTCATTTTCTAATGTGTTTCAGTACTTCTTGAAAGATCTGAGAAATATTAAAGATTGTTATAAATATTACATTTTGATTGAGAGTCTCAATTTGAGACCATCATAACACTCACTTACAATATAAAAAATTTCATCACATCTATGCACTGCACATACAACAAAACCATTCATAATATAATTCACTTTCTTTATAATGTTCTTATGTCTAATGTTCATTAAGAAAATTCAAGTTAGAGATATGAACTACACTATAAAAAGTTTAGCATCTACACTTTTAAATAATATTTAATATTTTCTACTGGATTTAATATTCTATTCTCTATTGTTAATAAATATTGAATGATGATTTGTTATTTTATATTTCATGTAACAAAATTTGGACTGATGATTAAATTAAATTTTTCTTTAATAAAATCTCGTAAAATCATCCCAAATTAACGTCTTTTTAAAAATTTATACCAGAATAAAATAAAAAATAATATTTTTCGCATGAATAAAAGTAAAAACGTTACAATGATCCTGAGCTGACGGTTGAAATAAAAATAAATTAATTAAAAGTATGATTTCGTGTTTTAAAGTGTCAAATTTAATAAAATAATTAAAATACTTTAATTAATTAATTAATTAATCGCTTAATTAAATTGATTTTCGTACATTTACATCTCAAAAATACAATTTTGGAACCAGCGCTCGCCCGCTTTTCGTTCTTTTAACTATTGAAAATTAGTTACAAACAACAAGAGCATACACATACAATGCAGACACACACATACAAAAAACGGTTTTTAATAAATTAATTTAAACATTTTCACGAAAAAATTTTAAAAATTCAAACAAATCAACCTAATCACTAACCATTAGGGTTTTTGAATTTATTAAATTTTCACAAATTTCGCGAATTTTGAGCCCCTAAAAACGTGAAATTTACAACACAATACAACACGCAATGTTGTTAGTACTATGCGTTATTACTATAGTATAATAATACATTGTCTATATACATAGATATATACATAGACATAACAATTACAAATACTATATAAGTATCATCTTGGGTATAGAATCATAGATAGTATCTTGTGTGTTTAGAGTATCTAGTATTGTAATATAGTATAACTATATGGTTATATATGTGTATTATTATTATTTTATATAGTTTGTTATGTATGTTTGTGTGTAGTTGTTTGTGTGTGTTCAGTTCATGGAGCAATAACAAAGATTTTTATGACGATGTTTTTGTGATGATTTTCCGGTTTAATTTGGTTGTACATTTTGTTCATTCATTTTAATTTTTAAATAAATAATCAAATTTAAACTCAAATTTGTTAAAACTAACAATGTGGCGCAAGGCATATGCGCGATTCACTAGTTTATAACAATTTTGATGCTTTATCTTTAGATGATATTTTCTGTATAGTATTATGTAACAGTATTATTAATTAATATACCCAAAATAATAGTTAATACATTAATTGAACAAATGAAGCAGTACATAAATTCGCTGTGTAAGGTGTAATACACATACATATGGTTGGATGCTTAGATAACGCATTGTTGTATATCTATACTTGATATATCGGGATGACAAAAAATTTTGGCAGAAAACTCCATTCTTTATTATTTTTACGATCAAATCCTTCAAGTCAACCACCATATTGTCATGTATCTTTGTGGTTTATATGAAATGTTCACAATGAAATTGAGAAATATAGTTTAGTTGATGAGTATGGTGCGTCCAGCTACGCTGGTATGTGTACCTATTGTAATGTATGCATGATTTTACTGTGAAAATGTAAATATTGTGTCATGTTTTGACGTTAAATTTCAGCTTTATTTCTTTTTGTATGAGAATTTTACAGAGTATTAAGAAGAAAATTATCAAAATTGTACTTTGCAATTAAAAATTTTTATTTTTGGCTGAAAAAAATAGCAAGTGCGTGCTTTCCTTTGAATCATCCTGTGTATTCCCAGTGCTTATTTTTAGCTTCGAAGGATGATGGTTGTCGTGTGGTGTTTAATTTTTTTATTTTTACTGAAAAGTAACCAATAATTCAATTTTAAGGTTTAGTACAACGGACAATATATCACAAAAACTTAAACTTAGCATGTCCTTTTATTCATTTACCGTTTGGGGACGTTTTTGAAGTGAATGACATTATTGGTTGCTGGTTGGTTACTCAGCAAGCAAACCTATGTATATAACACTAAAAAATAGATTTAAGATCCATTTTACGAAATGTATTTCTTAAGATTTACCAATTCTTAATCGTTAGTTAGAAATTTTAAGCTTGAAGCATGGATATAATCCATGACATAATATAAGTCATGGATATAGGATCCATGGCTTGAAGTTACTACATTAACAGTACAAAAATAGGTGAGATTTGAATCCGGCTAGTTGTGTTATTAATAATAATAACAATTATAATAATTTTTAACAATTTTAAGTCTGTTGAGACTATGTTGTTTGTCAATCAATCAAAAGTTGATAAGGATCCTCGTATTTCTCTTTTTTCTTTAAACATTTAAACTACAAAACTGATAAAAAAATCATTTGAATTAATATTTTTACATTCGTTGATGTTATGGTGTGCTACGTAGACATATAAAAAGGTCTTATTATCTTCAACGCATATAATTTTCAATCAGAATCATCAATTAATATCCTAGAAAGTTTTATAATCTTAGATGACCAGGGGTTGAACTATAGTCAATATAGAAATGCGTGTGACATTAATTTGTATGCATTTGGAGTACAAATTTGTTTTAATTTCTTGTTTTAATTGATTCTACAGAGTTCAGCAACAACAAAGAAATTGTGTGTAATGTGAATTTATGGAGTTAAATTGTTTTAAAAAATGTTGATTGACGTGTGTTCATGCTATTAGTTTTTTAGTCATTTTATAGTCATCTTCATCACTGTTAAATTCGTCATCATCTTAATCATCATTATTATCGTCATCATTGTCGTCTTCGTCTTCAATATTTCCACCATTTCAACCATCATCTATCACCTCATCGCGTCATCATCATCATTTTTGTCGTACTATCTGCATGATTTTTCTTCAACAACTCACCATCCAGATCCAAATTAGAACCTTCATCATCATCATTTTCATCATCATCATCGCTATCTTAATAATCCTTCTCTTTATCATCATCGTCATCAGTGGATCCAATTAAAGAATAAAACAAACAGATGAATGAAATTTTTTTATGATTTCAAATTGATATGAACCCAATGTTCAACTCATCTTGGCACATCTCAGCTGGCTTGGCTAAACAGAAACTTAGAATTTTAAAATAAAATTGATACACGGAGTAAAACAAATAACGCATATATGCGTGTGTTTTATTGTTTGACTGTTTCTGTGTGTGCGTGCGTGTGTGTGTGTATGTGTCAGTTTTGCAATTTGTACTGGTTATACAACGGTAAAAACATTTACACATTGCTACTACGACAAAAAATTTCAATCTCAATTAACCAACAGCTGGCAAGAGCAGCAACAACAAAAATGACATTAACAACTACAACGACAACAACAAAAATGACATTAACAGTTACAACGACAACAACAAAATGACATTAGCAATGGTAACGACAGCAGCGACAACAACTAATCACATTTAGCATGTTGTAAATCACAGAACCACAGACAGAAGTACCCTTCGAATAGAAGCAACAATAAAATAACAAACAACAACAACATTAACGCGCCAAAGAAATCATCGTTACAACAACAACACAAAATCACCAAACAGAAAGGAAGAAAAATAAAAAGAAAATGCCAATATCAGAGATGGAAGCACGTTTAAAACTTGTTAATCAAAATTTCTCCATTCATTCGTCTGGTGTCGCCTCAAACAATGTCATCGGCCATGTTGCCATTGTTCGGCTATTGTGTAGCATTGTACATCGTGCTCCAGGCTGTGCGGCGAGTGTAAACATTAGGCCCAACAAATGTCTGTGAGATGCTGTCTATTCTGTTGATAGTGCGTGTGTGTGTGTGTGCGTGCGTGTGTGCGTGTGTGCGTGTGTGTGTGTGTGTGTATGTGTGTGCGTGCGTGTGTGCGTGCGTGCGTGTGTGTGTGTGTGTGCGTGTGTGTGTGTGTGTGTGTGTGAACGAGTAAAAATGTATAGTACAGCCTTAATACGATTGAGTACATCATCATGCTTCCGAGTTGATGTTGAGATAGTTGGTACTGGATGGTTGGTGGTTGTCGTAGTTGGTTGATTGGTGGTTAATTTGTTGTTTCTGTCTTGCTTCGACGGCTCGAGATGACTGGGTTCTATCATCCTACGCTACTATGTTTATTATTAATTAACGATGGTTAATAGTGCGATGTTGGATGTGTAAGTATGGGCGTGTGTTTATGTGTTCAGTGCCTAAATAGTATGCGGTGTAGTGGTTTGTTGATTGTGTATGCTTGTAGGATGTCGTTGTGGTTTTGGATGCATCCATGTAGGATTAGAGTGGTGATGATTTCTTCGTAGAATGAGTTAAGTTGTCTGTTGTATGGTCGAACGATTATGTCTATTCTGTTGATAGTGCGTGTGTGTGTGTGTGCGTGCGTGTGTGCGTGTGTGCGTGTGTGTGTGTGTGTGTATGTGTGTGTGCGTGCGTGTGTGCGTGCGTGCGTGTGTGTGTGTGTGTGTGTGTGTGTGTGTGTGTGTGTGTGTGTGCGTAATTGAGTCATCTCGTAATCGTGTAATCTCCAACTTCATCACCAGCGATAATAACAAATTATAGCAAAGAAAAGAGCCACACAGTAACTTGTACTGTACATCCTCATATCAGTGGCAACAAAATCAAACGACGGAAATGACGTCAGCAACGACAACGAAGAAAAGACATCACCATTAATGACAACAACTGCGAAAATGACGTCACCAATACCGCGAACAACAACAACAACAAACAAACAACAAAACACCCAACAAACAAACAACAAAGCATCAATGACAAGTAGAGAGAAAGAGCTCACAGAAACACAGTGTGTCATTCTCACTTACATGGAGATTGTCTTTTAACACCAGTTCAGTTAGCCAACGTTTTTGTTACCACACCAACAAAGTCAGCGCTATATAATTGCTCGACGCCATTTAATGTTTCCGCTCTAAATTATTAATCAACCCTGAAGCTGATGATTGTGATGATGGTAGTGATGGTGTGCGTATGCATATGCATGCACGTATGCAAGCATGTAAGTATGCTATGTATTATGCATGTTTGTTTGTTTGTTTGTTTGTTTGTTTGTATGTATGTTTGTATGTATGTTTGTATGTATGTATGCATGCATGTATGTATGTTTGTATGTGTGTGTGTGTGTGTGTGTGTGTGTGTGTGTGTGTGTGTGTGTGTGTGTGTGTGTGTGTGTGTGTGTGTGTGTTGAGTTTGTTTAGTTAATCATGTTCTGTAAGATAACAAACAAAGGATAGCATAGAACAAACAAATCGATGAACCGTCAAAGAACGTAAAAGCA